AAGCTTCTTTAATTTTTTTTTTTTTAAATTCTAATAAAAAACCTTAAAAAACTAAATCACATGATAATCAGAAATATTGATAATATTATGAGACTACCAAATTTAATTTTTGAGAAAAATGTGTTTTAGTTTATCCTGGTTACAGAAATTGATAAACAGAACTCTGAGGAAAAAAAAAAACACTGCCTTTTCAACTTAAAAAAATAATAAACTTTTTGTTGTTGAAATTACACTAATGAAACAAGGTGTCCACAACTACACTTTTCATAAATAAAAAAAAGGAATAGGTCGAGATGAACTGGGCAAAGACAATATGATTAAAATAGGATTAGTCTGGGCTTTGTTTTTTATTTTTTTCCTCTCATAAATGATATGTTTTTTTGGGGTGGGGATTATTTATATTTAGCTTTTACTTTATTTTATTTTAATTTATTTTTTATTTGCTGGCAGATTTTCAAAAGTTTTGGTAATCATGAAAGTCCACAATGTGGCGATAGTTAATTAGATAGTAATGATAATAAAACAATTACAAAATAATAAAAATATATAGCAAAAATAAGATAATGCCATATAATCAGATTTTAATTAGTGTGAGGGCAAAGGCTACATGTACACAGCAAATATAACTGTAAAAGCACATACAAATTAATTTTTTGTTGAAGATAATATTTTGTAATAAAAAAATTAAATAATAATAATTTGGAAACCTAACCAAAATATGTAAGGAAACAAATACCAGTAAGAGAATCGTAACAATTGCTATTGTATAAATGATAAAACTGTAATTTCACTAATATTGAATAAACTGATACTAGTATTGAATAAAAATATTATAGTTTTTATTACAATGTCACTTTTTGGCGTTCCCGTTATTTTTAAATTTACTAAGAGTTTGGTGTGTTTTTATTTTTTTGGAATTCATTTTCACTGAAAAGACATTTTGGGTGTTTGTATGGAATTTATTTTCACTGACTTTTGACGAGTTGAATGTAAAATATAGAAAAAAAGGTATATTCACTGGATTTTATTTTCACTGAATCATTCCTTCCTCGAAAATTAATTCCAAGTGAAAATAAAGTATTTTACGTTACATGCCCTCACAGGTGACATTTCAAAACAGTTTTCCAACTGTGAACATACGAGGGGGCTATTATTGTCATCAGTAACATTTCAAGTTACACCTGACGAAAGAACCCTGAGCTTTTACTCTTTCAAATTTTTAGGTAAAATTCAAATTATTCTAATTTTGGTATCACATTTTCAGTCCTACAACAAAAATCAGTGCAGTTCAATAATTGGATTTTAAGTGGCAGTATTTGTATTTTTAATCAACTGAGCCAAAATACAGTAGACAATATAGAAATAGACATACTTTATTTCACATTAAACTCATCAAAAATCAGTGAAAATAAATTCCATACAAAACACCCATAAAGCCTTTTCAGCGAAAAATAAAGTATTCCACAATAACAGACACAGACTCAAAGAAAGTTAGAGGCAGTGTGGTCAGTGCAACCAGCCATCAAGTTAACAGGTTGACACATATGCACACATGAATAAAAAAGGGTCGGCAGAATGACCTGAAACGTTGTTGTTGAAAACTGCTAATGACATTCATCTCAACTTTTTTTAATTTTTTAAAACTACAGGATTTATAGCTAATGTCCACATGAGTAAACTGAAAAAAGAATTAAATGCATTCATAATTATCAGTTAGAAAATGCTGGTGTTAGTTTTGTTACTTCCCTTGTGATATTTCTACTATACACCAACCAGACAAAAATCCTAGAAGCAGCATTTAAGACATTTATTATAGTTATTTCTAAGCAATATTTTGACCCAAAATGAATGATTAAGTGGTAAGCAATTACTTTAAAATGACTAATTTTCCCTGGGTTTAAATTTCGCTGATTTATCATTTAAGGCATATTTAGTGGGTTTTATAATCACGGTTTTATCATTTAGATAATGTGTTCTATGCTAAATTTTACATATTCACTGGGTTTTAATTTAGCACATTTTCCAGTCAGCGAAATAAGCAAAATTAAAACGCAGTGAATAATTAACCCCTTTGCAGTATTTTATTTTTTCTGCTAGGCCCTACCAGCCATACTTAAATCATCAGGCCACTGTGTTATCAGGCTAGTTTAGTTTACATGCAATATTTGTTACCAAAGCAAAAAGGAATGATGTTATGTATTTTATGTTGATTACCGTACATGTTTTTTTTATAAAACATAATTTAATCACCTTCATGGTATTTAATGTCCCATATTTACGATAATTAAAATTCAACATGTGTATTTTATTGTTTTGGTGTTCGCATTAAATATTATAGACCACAAATTGTTTTCAGTGCATATTGTGTGTATATTTGTTATATTTATACTTAGATAAACACTAACACTAGAATTTTAGAATGTTTCTATTCCTATACATAATCCTCTTAAATAGCATCATGGCTGTTTTACTCACACTGTGGGCACTGCTGCTGGCACATCATCCAGGGCATCCTCAAACTGCAGAATAAAAATATATAACATTAGATATTTTTTTTATGAGACAAATAATTTACTTATTAAAATAATATAAAACATGTCAATTACGATTATTTCGTCATTCGAAACACATTAATTTTGTAATGATGATGACTTATTATAAATTGGTTCCTAATCATGACGAATAATTAACAGTCACGGTATTTGATCATTCGATGCTAACGTAGCTCTCAATAAACATCGTATTTCGACTACAATATCTCGTTATACATATGACAATCTATGTTTCATAG